CATGTTCCACCTAAGTCATAGGTACCTCCCAGCGCATAAAGCAGCAAGTATTGGCAATATCACATGGTCGGACCATGCCCCGATTTTTCTAACTCTCACATTACTTAAAGCTCCTACACAAAGCCCACAATGGCGTCTCAATGAGAACCTCCTAGATGACCCGAGAGTAATAGAGGACATACGGACGACACTCCGCCATTACTTCTTAGAAAACTCTACTACAGACGTAACCGACGCTTGGGTGTGGGAGGCACACAAAGTGGTGATTAGGGGTATCTTGATTAAATGGGGTTCTAGGATCAAGAAGGAACGAGCACAAAAGCAGACAGCCCTGACACTAGCCATACAGGAACAAGAAACACTGCACAAACAGACCCCCACGCCGGAGATCTTCCACACACTAACAGGTCTCCGAATGGAACTCCGATCCCTCCTATCCCTCAAAGCACATAGGGCTGTCCAGTTAACGAGAGGATCTTTCTATGCGCAAGGGAATAAAAGCGGGAAACTATTAGCACGAGCACTGAAGACTAAGCTCCAAAAATCTTTTATAACTCACATTAAAAACAGCCAAGGGAAACAATGTAACACCACTGACGAAATAGCAGACGCATTTAGCAACTTTTATCACGATCTTTATAACCTTACACCCCCCATAGGCACCCCCTTAGACTTACAGGACTACTTAAGGGCCAATATACCACACAAGGTCCCGCCCGAAGCATCCCAGGCCCTTGAGGAGCCCTTCACCCATAAGGAACTCTCTGAAGCGATCAAAACAATGCCGAAAGGAAAGAGCCCCGGCCCAGACGGCCTAACAGCTAGATATTATCAGGCACTGATAGATGACCTGGGACTTCACTTTCTTAAGATGATCAACGGGTTAGAACAGGGCACCTCTCTCCCTGCCCCGATGCTACGCGCATCTATCACCATCATTCCCAAACCGGGGAAGAACCCGGAAGCTTGCGGCAGCTACAGACCCATCTCCCTTATTAACCTAGACCTTAAACTTATAGCCAAAATGATAGCTAACCGTATTAAACCATTATTGCCAGAATTGATACACCCCAACCAAGCGGGTTTTGTGCCGGGAAGGGAAGCCAGGGATAACACCTCTAGAATCATAAGTATCATACATGGAGCCAATACCAACCACACCCCCACAATACTACTGGGCATAGACGCTGAAAAAGCTTTTGATAGGGTAGACTGGAAGTACCTATTTGGAGTATTGGAGAATCTAGGTCTAGGCCCCAAATTAAGGAACTGGATACGCGCACTATACATAGGTCCGACTGCCACTGTACGGGTCAATGGGCAACACTCCACGCCCTTCCAAATAGGAAACGGCACCCGCCAGGGATGCCCACTATCCCCTCTCCTGTTCGTCTTGGCGATAGAACCTTTTCTGACAGCTATCAGGAACAACCCCCAAATTAAGGGACACCGCTATCCAGGGGGAGAGGTAAAGGTCTCTGCATTCGCAGACGACGTGCTCTTCTCGGTCACAGACCCGCTCCACACACTGACACAGGTACAAATAGAAATAAACAAATTTGGCACACTATCGAATTTCAAAATCAACACAGAAAAATGCGAGATACTAGGACTCTCCATACCATCGACCTTACAGGCCCGAATCAGGGAATCCCATAACTTCGCCTGGGCTCAGAAAAGCTTGACATACCTAGGTATTCGCCTCACCCCGTCACTCAAGGACCTGTACATTCAGAACTTCCCGACACTCATAGATACTATAACCCAAGACCTCAAAAAATGGGACTCACCCCAATTTTCATTAATGGGCCGGGTCAATATAATAAAAATGATGACTCTACCGAAAGTGCTATACCTGTTTCAGACCCTCCCAATCCCTCTACCGGGAGAATTCTTCCGACGCTTGAGATCCATATTCGTAAAATTCACATGGGGAAATAAACCTGCGAGGCTGGCATACTCGACAATAACAGCGCCACCGGGGAGGGGGGGGTTAGGCTTACCTCATCTATACAAATATTACGTAGCAGTTCTCCTCACACGAGTCAGGGACTGGAATAAGGTCGACACTCCTAAAGCCTGGTACAATCTTGAACAGAGCTTTGCGACGGTCCCTCTCCACACGCTCCCTTGGCAGACATGCCAACTCACAACACTTACCCCAACACACCACCCCCTCATACATAACACACTCTGGACATGGAGGAGACATAGAGAGGACTGGGGACTATCCCCCGGTCTATCCCAGTTTTTCCCCCTGGCCAACAACCCAGACTTCCAAAATGGTCAGGGAAGCACTACTCTAACTCGGGTCACTGGAGAGGCCTGCCCAGAAGTAGCGACGGTCTTCACAGGAGACGACCCTCCTAAAATAAAGGCCTTCCCCACACCAGGTAACAGAGGAACATTACTAGACATTATGGCCAAAGCCCAACTAACCCACTTCTTGACCCAATCGGTCCTCCCGTTTTGGAGGAAAAGGGACAAGACGCACTTCGAAAACCTATGCTCCCAGGGAAATAAAACAAAACGGCCACTATCGGCCATCTACCGCCTCCTCCAAATGGAAGCAGTGGATACACCCAGACCCCCATACCAACGAAAATGGATGAGGGAACTCCACATTCACATGACGAATAGTGACTGGGCACACATCATGACCTCAGGGATGAAATCCCCACTAAGCATTGCACGCAAAGAAACTTTTTACAAAAGGGTCACCAGATGGTATAGAACACCAGCCCTTCTCCACACCTACTGGCCCACAGTAAGCGACCAGTGCTGGAGGTGCGAGAGAGCAGAGGGCAATATGGAACACATATGGTGGAGCTGCAAGAACATAGCACCATTCTGGGACTTGATACTTACGGACATTAAGAAAATCCTATCCATGAGGGCACACATATCCCCCTCCCAGGTACTTCTAGGGTGGCCACGGGCACTGGTAGACCCGTATAAACAGCAACTTCTAAACATCCTCCTAGGCGAGGCCAACGCACTTATACCCATGCTCTGGCGACAAACGCAAACACCCTCTAGAGACCAATGGGTCCAAAGGGCAGAGCGGACCAGAGAACTAGAGGAGATCCACTGGTCAACACAGGGCAAGAGAGCTAAATATCTCAAAATTTGGAAACCCTGGCTCACCTGCCCCCCCGCAGGAAACGCGCTCATAACTAGCTGTAGCGAGAGTTCTTAAATCAGTCTTATACGGAAATCCAAACACTTTACCACAGAGGGCCGGAGAACTCGAGACTCCGGACTCTAAACTTCTATACAGGCAGGTAGCGACAAGATCCCCCTCCCCCCATACACCGCCCTCACCCCGTTCACCTCACCCCCACCTGCTCCATCCCCATCACCACATTTCGTTAACATAGGACAGGTTCACGTATACGAAACAACTCTGTTTTAATCATTTTGTATAACTCTACAGGATCCCCACTATGTTATATTTTTGTCAACCCCTTCTCTATTCTGTACCCCATGCAATGACTTTATGTACTGAAAACACAATAAAAATGATATTAAACAAAAAAAAAAATATGTATAGCAAGAGCTTGGAAATGTCCATCGCCTATACCATGGCAGGTGATTATGGAACAAATAGAATTTCAGTATAAGATGGAATTTAATTCTATTTCTAATACTGGAATCAGAATGACCTATGCAAAACTATAGACACCCTGGACAGACAAACATCTTATAAAATAACAAAACGTGGCGGTTCTCTTGGTTTGATTAGACCTCATGTCAGGTATCAAGAATTTTTTGTTCCCCCCCTCTTTTTTCTATCCTTGTTTTTGGTATTAAAATAATATGAATTTCAGACACTACTTAGATATAAAAGTGGGCCTAAAAAAAGGGTTACACAATGAAGTATATGAAGATAATATGTTGTAATTTGTGGAAATCTATTCACAAACCGGACTTTACATAGGACATGAGGTCATGCGTTTAGACTGGAAGAAAGAATATTTCTTCTAAGGCAAAGGAAAGGTTTTTTTACTGTATGAACAATAAGGATGTGTAATTCTCTGCCTGAAGAAGTGGTTTTATCAGAGTCCATACAGATGTTCAAACAGCTACTAGATGCATACTTGCAAAAACAGAATATTCAAGGATATAATCTTTCAATGTAGGGTAATAACTGCTTGATCCAAGGATAAGTCTGACTGCCATTCTGGGGTCAAGAAGGAATTTTCCTAGCTTTTTGCAAAATTGGAAGTGCTTCAAACTTGTTTTTTTTGCCTTCTTTTGGATCAACAGCAAAAAACAAATGTGAGGAAGGCTAAACTTGATGGACGCAAGTCTCGTTTTAGCTATGTAACTATGTAACCTTGTAATAAGATAATTTGTGTATAAACAGATTTATGTATGGAGATGTTATTCTTTTCATGAAAATTTCCTTACTTCAATATGATCAACTATAGTATGATGTTAATCGTGTTTTAATGTAATATCTGTCTGTGAAAGTTCTAAATATTGGTATATTCTTCAAATAAATAAAATAAATATTTAAAAAAAATGTGTACAGTGAACACACACTGCTTATATTTCTATAAGCAGTGTGCTACAGATGTCCAGTGTTTGAAAAGGAAAAACAAACTTACATTTTATTCCAATATAACTTTATTTATTAAATATAATAGAAATCATACATTACATTACAATATGAAAAATAAAACGTTCAACGGAAGGTGCTACGATGAGTGCAACAATAATCTGTTCCACTGACTCATGTAATCAAATGATATTCACCAGATCCCGTGTATCCATAGCATACTGAAAACAGAAGTGTCAAGGCACCTGTTATTTCCTGTACGCGAGGTGGACTGAGGTTCTGTGGGTAACATTCTGCACTTTATAAATTAAATATGTAAACAAATTCAGTTTTTGGCAAGATGGTGCCACTGAGTTGTTAGCAGGAAGTATAATATTATAAAAACAGTCTTTGCTGCAAGAGTCACGGTGTTGATAAGAATCCGCAAAGTGAGGAGAATGAAAATCCAGTTAGCCAGATCCGGTTCCAAAAAACAGAAATCAACTTGGATGGCAAGAGGAGGAAAGTCATTAAACAAATCGCCTCCTATAACAGGTAATCCTTAATGTCCACGCAATGGATAGAAGCTAGTCTTTCAGCCAAGTCCAAGGCATTACTAAAAAATCCAGTCGATGTATTAAGAGAAATATGCAATCCTTAGATTAAGCCAGAGTTCGTACATGAGTAATCTGCAATCACAGTACAGAACTAGTTGTACAAAAACAGAGACGCTGATAGGAATCCAACGGTCTGAAACCAGTAGCTGAGACAAAAGTCAGACTTGGAGAAACCTGTAATCTGTAATATGTCCATTTTAAGTGAATAATTCCAGATGAGATTAGTATCGATGATCAGCACTGGAGTTCATACTTGAATTAACTGCAAAGAGAGAAATAAAGAATAAACAAACCCTTGCATGTAATGCTAAATCTATAACATTGAAAGTGCAACCTATCTATGATGTCATGCATTTAAAAAGTCAGAGAGAACATGAACATTTTGAGGTTTTGTTAAAGGTCGACACATATACAGTTGCAAGAAAAAGTATGTGAACCCTTTGGAATGAAATGGATTTCTGCACAAATTGGTCATAAAATGTGATCTGATCATCATCTAAGTCACAACAATAGACAATCTCAGTCTGCTTAAACTAATAACACACAAAGAATAAAATGTTGCCATGTTTTTATTGAACAATCGGGTAGATTAAAGAAAAGAAATAAATCATAAAATAAAATAGCCATATATACAAGAATAGTAAATTAATAACAGGAGGTAAAAAAGATCTTAAATACCTTGGCTCTTTTATAAAAATATAACCTACATTCCTGACTTACATTACGAAGTAGGATGGGTGTCAAACAGACTCTGTATTACCCAAGGATAAGACAAACATAACGCTTTAGTAATAGTGTAATATGATACTATGCAGAGAGCTGGAATAACTCTGCTTTAATGGGTTACTCCAACCACCATGACCACTGCAGTGATTTAAAATGGTCATGGTGCCTGGAGTCTGTAAACGTAGAGTTGAAAAATGCTGCACATACATATGTGGTGTCATTAGCCAGTTGAGAACAAGAGAATTGGGCTTGCTAATATCAATTCTGTGTAAAATTGGCGTCTGATGCCAGTATGTACAACATGCTGTAGCCAGACAGCCAATGGCAGCATGTCCACCTTCCATGCCGCCTCAGTGGTCTACTCAGTCCATCCACCCACCTCTCCCTTCCCCTCTGGTGAGGGGGAGTAATGTCAGTATAGGTAAAATGGGCCCAGGGAAAAGTTAGCCTCGGTGAAGGAAAAAAATGTAAAGTTTATGGATTTTTTATTAATTTTCTTTTGGAGTTTGGGGCGGATGGTGAGAACTACAGAAAGGGTGACTCCAACCAATACCAGTGCTTTATGAAAACATAAAAATGTCACATTTACTTGTTATTGAAAATAATAGCCATTAAAAGATTAACCAAATAAAGTGAAAAGAAAAATAAAATATGATGTAAAAATAAAATCTTACCGACAGATTATAAAAATAATATATGACTACCTACCTGCTGTCAGATACTGTCAGATGAAATTCTCTGATCGGTGGTCTGCAGGGTGTGATGCTTAATTAATCGATTAGCAGTAGCAGTACTTGGGTCAGCGTCTCACCAATTTTTGTTGCAAAAAAAAATGAATAGAAACCCAAACTGTTGGCAGTGGAGAGGACTACTGAGATTTTAATTATTATTATTTTTTTTTAAATTGAAGTTGTTTATTTGCGATTTTCAACAATATTTAAAGAAAAGGTGGTGAGGCAAGGGTAGTTTGGGCAGGAGAAATGGGAAAAAAGTTTTCTGGGGAAGTTTGACTGAAAAAAACACATTAATCAAGTTATGTTGTATCTCTGGAATTGTAACAGTTTTCCAGCTTCCCCTCCCCCTAGTTGATGGGGGGAGGGGAAGGCACTTGCCATGATCCTCCCTAGCCAACATATTGCTCAATGGCTTCTCGGGTGGGGGGGGGGCATTTGTCCTGGTGCTCCCCCCCTAGATCCTCCACTGGTGACAGCTTGCAGGACTGGTTGCAGGTTCGCACGGCACGACAGCTAACCCCACCTGAACCACCCGTGCACTCGCTATCCAGCAGGCAGCAGGGGGAGCAAGCAAAAACCCGCTTGAGCTTGGAAGATGCCAGCCGTGAGGCTGTGCTGGAGACTGCAAATGGTTACGTAGATGGCAAGAGGAGGTGGGAATGGCTGCTCATGCTGCTAATTGTAGGACAGAGAGAAGCTAGCCTAATAGTAGTGTTGGGAAAGTGGTAAATCCCCATGGCGGTGGGATTGTTGTGATGCCTAATGGAGAATGATGTTTGGTGATGTCTAATCGTGATGGGAGATTGCAGGGTGATGCCTTATGATGATGAGAGAAGGAAGGGGTGATGCCTCGTGATGATGTAAACATCACCATGAGGAACCACCCTCCTCCCTCTTCCAACACCACTTGGTATCACCCTCTCCCATCACCTCTAGGCATCACCCCACCACCTTCTCACTTAATCACTAGGCATCACCTCCACCACCATTAGTAACCACCCCTCTCCCACCACCATAGCACATCTCGCCTCCCACTAGCCTCACTATTAGGAATATATATTCCCTCCCACTCCCAGAACCAATAGGAATCACTCCTCTCCCACCACCATAGGGCATTATGCCTCCCACTATCCTCCCTATTAGGAATTACATTCCCTCCCACTCCCATCAGCATTAGCAATCACCCCTCTCACACCCCCATAGCGCATCATGCCTCCCTCTACCCTCACTATTAGGAATTATATTCCCTCCCACTCCCAGCACCAATAGGAATCACTGATCTCCCACCACCATACGGCATTACGCCTCCCACTACCATCACTATTAGGAATTATATTCACTCCCAATCCCATCAGCATTAGCAATCACTCCTCTCCCACCACCACAGCACATCACACTTTCCACTACCCTCACTATTAGGAATTACATTCCCTCCCACCCCCATCAGCATTAGCAATCACCCCTCTCCCACCACCATAGCGCATTTCGCCTCCCTCCACCCTCACTATTAGGAATTATATTCCCTCCCACTCCCAGAATCAATAGTAATCACCCCTCTACCACCAGCAGAGGGCATTATGCCTCCCACTACCCTCAGTATTAGGAATTACCTTCCCTCCCACTCCCATCAGCATTAGCAATCACACCTCTCACACCCCCATAGAGCATCACGCCTCCCTCTACTTTCACTATTAGGAATCATATTCCCTCCCACTCCCATCAGCATTAGCAATTACTCCTCTCCCACCACCATAGCACACCACACCTCCCACTACCCTCACTATTAGGAATTAAATTCTCTCCCACTCCCATCACTGTTAGGAATCACCCCTCTCCCACCACCATAGCACATCACACCTCCCACTAGCCTAACTATTAGGAATTACATTCCCCCCACTCCCATCACTGTTAGGAATCACCCCTCTCCCCCTTTCAAATCCATAGTAAACCCTTTTCCATTCCTACCTACAGCATTCTCCCTGAGTATCGCTCTCTCCTGCGCTGGCAGATGGGAGATGGAGGGAGGAAATGCTTAGCTGTGGTAGCAATAAGAAGAAGTAATGGCTGCCACATAGTGGTGAGAGAGGTGTAGGGTTATGCCTAATGTTGATGGAAGAAAGAGGGGGTGACGACTAATGGTGATGGGAGAGGGAGTGGGATGATACCTAAATTATGGCTTTTGCCCATCATAACTAGGTATAACCGCCTCCCTCTAACACCACCATTAGGTGTAACCTCTCACCCTCTCCTATCACCATTATTAAAAAAACTCCCATCCTCTCCCATGATTATTAGCCATGACTTCCCTCTCCCATCACTACAAGGCATAACTCTCTTTCCCATCACCATTTGGCATCACCCTCATACTCCGTGCACCATTGCAGCATCCCATGCAGCATCATGTCCTCCCTCTCCCATCACTATTAGGCAGCCCTCCCTCTACCATGGCTAACATTAGGCTCCATGAAACCATTTCTTCCTCCCATCACTAAGGAGCCGGATAGTGAGTGGAGAGAAAGGGGTGATGGCTGCTTAATGAGAAACCATAGGTGGAAAATGTATCTTCTTTTACTGCATTATATAGAACAGGGGTCTCAAACCACTGGCCCATGGACCATGTGTTGCCCCCAAGCAACGTCTTGTGGACCAAGGTGTAGGAGGGAAACTGCCGGCATCTCAATTTCTAGACTGTCTGGTTAGACACCGTACACATGGCAACTGACATTCTTTTAATTGAGCTGCTGGCTGCATACCCACTGACCAGCATTGCAGAGTGGTGCCCTAAAATCTGTGCATGTGAGTGTCTGTGAGTGTTTGTATGTGTGTGTCCTTGGGAATCTGTGGATGTGTCCGGGAGTGTGGATCTGGGTCTGTTTGTATCCATGAGTGTTTTATGTGTGAGTTTATCTGTGAGTGTGCATCTATATGGCATGGCATATGTGTATCTGGGTGTGAGTCCGTGTGTCAGTCAGTGTGGATCTGTGAGTGTGTCGGGGAGTACAGACCTGCATGTGTGTCTGGAATATGGGTCTGTGTGTATATATGTGTGTGTGTTTGTGTGTGTGTTTCTGGACGTATGGATCTATATGTGTCTGGGAGTGGAGTATGGATCTATGAGTGGAGATCAGCAGCACTCCATACGAGAAGACGCCTCTGCCACAGGCCCTCAGGTAAATTTGAGTTGACACCAGTGATATAGATAATGCAGTAAAAGGAAATAATACGATTGAAATTACCCCCATTTTTAATGCATTAAAATAAACTCCAAAATAAATAATTATTAGAATACATTTCAATAAAAACAATACTTACTATGAACGATAATTAATTATAATAATTATAATAATATGAAATAAATACATTTCAATAAAACAATATTTACCAGGAACGATCACGGCAGACAGAGGCTCGGTTTAGTGGGACTGACTACAGTTACAGGCTGGCCCCTATTTGAGCAGGAACAGGCTCCAATCATGAGCATCTCATTTTGGACTATACCCTGCCTGGGTTTTTTGGATAAGAATATTATTGAAGGAATATTGACCCCTTAAGGACACATGACATGTCATGATTCCCTTTTATTCCAGAAATTTGGTCCTTAAGGGGTTAAACAATTAATCTGTCAGTATTTCAGAACTACTTGCAAAACATAACTGAAAGGAAGTCACAAGCTATGACAGTTTCTATGTATCAGGAAATGCCTAACCACAATGTGTATGTGATATTTTGTAAGATTAGATTATTGAATGTAACAGCAGAAACTGCTTCCTCTTTTATGTATCTTTTGTAACCTTTTTGTAACCTTTTGTAACCAATATTTGTGACAAATATTGTATAAGTACAGAGCATTTTGAATACATTGTCAGAAGATTATGGAAAGCAAAGAGTGTGTGTCTGGTTAATACGCTTCCATAAAAATCTTCCCTGAATATTCAGCTGACAATCGAGGGTTGGAGAATAGTGACCAGAGGGACCGAGTCACCAGATTAGCAGATTTACCTTTCAATTATCAGTTCCAAACATCACATATGATGACCAGAACAGCTCTGCATACTGATAGCTGCCATACCACCATTGCTATCAGTTTATGCACATTACAGTTCACTCTTTAATGAATTGGGATGTGTACACATCTTGGCAAAGAAGAGAGATCCCAGTTCAAGTTTTGTGTGCTGTATGGATGTCGCAGACACAAGTTGGACAAATCTGATCTTCCTTACCAGGATGTCAATCAAACAGCCAGTGGAAGGTGGAGCTTCATGCTCCAAATCTCAAATGATAAGATCTGAAAAATGACAGTGAAGGTGGGTCACTGCACCAGAACTACTTCAACAAGATTAACTCCTTAACCCCTTACGGACACATGACATGTGTGACATGTCATGATTCCCTTTTATTCCAGAGGTTTGGTCCTTAAGGGGTTAAGGACACAACTTCTGAAATAAAATTGAATCATGACGGAATATTTCCGTCATGTGTCCTTAAGGGATTAAATAGTTTTGGTGTACATGTTACGACAGATTTCTTCTTACCTCCAAGCACTGTAATGAGAGCTTAGTCCAAGTTGTGCTTGCGGCACGTACATGCCATATGCACAATGTAGAGTATAATGATATCAGACAGCTAGTATTGAGAATTCCAATTGCTGCAGCTGACAAATCTGTGGGGCTGGTTTACAGCAGAAATAAGCCACTCACAGAGATAGACTTCATGCACCATTAATATTGCAATGATGCAAAGTTGTGATGGTGCGTAGACCGATCCATTAATGACGGTGGGGGAGGGAGTTGGTGATGGTCAGTAGTGATGTGAGAGTGAGGGGCGTTGATTAATGTTAATGGGAGAGAGTGAAGTCTAATGGTGGTGGGAGAAGAGGTTGATACATATCTTGATAATAATCACCATTAGGCATCACTCCTACCCTCTCTGATCACCATTACACATCATTTCTCCTTTCTATATCACCATTTCACATCAGACCCTCTCTCTCACAGTTTAATTAGACATCTCCCATGTCTGGGCGTATCTGTATGGATGTGTCTGGCTGTGTGTATTTGTGTGTAAAAGTGTGTATTGGGCAGTATTTATATGTATGCATGTCTGGCAGTGTCTGTCACTGTGTAAGTCTGTGTATCTGTGTGTGTTGCAATATGTATTTGTGTTTCTCTTAGTGTATATTTGTGTTTGTCTCACAGTGTGTATTTCTGTGCATCTCACAGTGTGTAAATGTGTTTGTCTCACATTGTGTAACTATATGTGTGTGTGTGTGTAAATATCTATATAAGTGTGTGTGTGTGTGTGTGTGTGTACATGGCAGGCTATATATGTGTCTGGTAGAATGTGTCGAGGCAGGCCCAGTCAGTGGTGTTGTATGCATTCTGATGGCAGCCCTGATCACCCCATCCCTCTCCCACCTTCATTAAGATTACTGAGTGCAGCAATTGGCTAAGACATGGTCTGTGCATGGCAAGTTGGGGAAGAAGACAGAGCTCAGTCCAAATTCTGAACGCGACATATGCAAGCCACACACACAATGAGGACAACATTTATAAGAGGAAGCTGGAACTAAGAGTACAAACTGCTGATTGACAGCTGTGAGGGGCCAGCTTAAACTGTGTGATTTATACAAATCACTGCAGTTCAGAGAACTGAGAGCAAGTTCAGGGTAATCTATTCACCATTAACAATGCAATGAGGCAAAATTGTGATGGTGTTTAGACTGACCATATAATGGTGGTGGGAGAAAAAGTTGGTAATGGCCAGTAGTGATGTAAGGGGGATGGGGTGATGTCTAATGATGGTGAGAGAGGGAAATGGTAATACACATTAGACATCACCTGTCCTTTCTCCCATCACCAATAGGCAGCACTCTCTCACTTCCACACCTTCATTAGGCATCTCCAGGGCTGCCATCAGGAGCATATCTGTGTGTTTCTGTATGAGTGTGTATCTGTCTGGCAGTGTATTTCTGTATGGGTGCGTCTGGCAGAGTTTATGTTTGTGTTTGAGAGTGTATTTGTATCACATTGTGCATTTGTGAATGTCTCACAGTGTGTATTTGTGTGTGTCTCACAGTGTGCATCTCTGCTTGTGTGTGTCTTTGAGTATGTATGTATGTATGAGTACGTGGGAGGTTATGTATGCATCTGTCTATGAGAATGTGTCCAGAGGAGTCCAGTCAGTGATGTTGTATACGCTCTGATGGCAGCCACGATCACCTCATCCCTCTTCCACTTTCATTATATTTGCTGCATGCAGTAATTGGTTGAACCATGGCTTGAGCATGTGTAGTGCACAGGTGGGCTCTCAATCTCTCAGCACGAGATAGAGCTGAGTCCTTATTTGTCCAATATGGACAAAATTGATAACAGGCGGCCGAAATTTAGAATTTCAGCTGGCGACTGACAGCTCAGAGGGGCCGGCTTATAGCTGGGTGATTTTTAGAAATCGCTGCATTTCTAAGCCACTCACAGACCTTTAGGCACCATCAATGTTGCAAAGTATTGATAGTGCTTAGACTGACCCTTTAATGGTGGTGGGAGAGGGTGATGGCCAACAGGGATGTGAGAGGGAGGGATGTTGATTAATGATGATGGGAAAGGGCGAAGTCTTATGGTGGTGGGATGAGGGAGTGATACGTATGTTAATAATAATCACCATTAGGTGTCCCCCCACCTTCTCTAAACACCATTAGACATCACGGCTCCTTTCTCTATCACAACCTGGCATCAGACCCTCTCTCTCACATTTTCATTAGGCATCTCCAGGGCTGCCATCAGTGGGCTGTCTGGGTATATTTGTGTGTGTCTGTTAGTGTGTTTTGTAAGTGTGTCTGGCAGTGTGTATTTCTGTATAAAAGTGTATGGCAGTGTTTAGATGTGCATGCAACTGTCAGAGTGTTTCTGTGTGTGTATCTGTGTGTATGAGGCAGTATGTATTTTTTATGTGTGTTTTACAGTGTTTTTTTGTGTTTGTGTCTCTGCAAGTCCTCTCAGTGTTTTGTATAATTTCTGATGGCAGCCCTGATCACCTCATCCCTCCCTCAGTACCATTATAATTGCTGCATGCCGCAATCAGTGGAGCTACAGTCCATACATGTACGGTCTACAGCTCTGCTCTCAATCTCTCAGAAGGAGAGACAGCTCAGTCCAAGTTGTGCGTGCAGGGATGGGAAAGAAATTGCGATCAGACAGCTGGAACGCTCAATTCCAGTTTACTGATATCAATGTTGTCTGACGGTTCTAGGGAAAAAAACAAATAAGGAGCGCCTGCACACAAGTAATGATGGTTAGGAGTAAACAAGTAATGGCGTTGCAACACCAGCAATTAAATAAAGGAGTTCATTCACCAGCATGTGGACCCAACAACATTTCAACACACAGAAGGAGTGTTTGCCAAGTCTGGCTTGACAGACATCTTTTCCGCAGGTTGAAATGTTGCCGAGTTCACGTGCTGGGGTAATAAACTCCTTCTTTATTTAATTGCTGGAGTTGTGAATCCATTACTTGTGTTTCTGTAGATAGTTCTGAGGATCCGGCTTACAGCTGGGTGATATTTACAAATCGCTGAGGTTCTAAGCCTCTTGTAGACCTGAGAGCAACTACAGGATACTCTATTAACCATCAACCCCACAATGATGCAAAGTTGTGATGGTGTTTACATTGACCCTTTAATGATGGTGGGAGAGGGAGGGTACTGATTGAATAATAATTTTGAGAGAGAGCGACGACTAATGGTGATGGGAGAGGGAGTGATGCTTATGTTGATAACAATCACCATTGGGCATCACCCACACCCTCTCCGATCTTTATTCACCATTAAACATCACCCATCCCCTCTCCTATCACCAGTAAGCATCAGATCCATTCTTACATCTCCATTAAGTATTTCCAGGGCTGTCATCAGTGGGGTAACTGTGTGTGCCTGATGTGCCCCAGACAAGTGTGTATTTGACTGTGTGTCTGGCAATGCGTATTTCTGCACGTGTGTATTTGACAGTGTGTATTTGTGTGGTGTGCTGTCTGTGTGTGCTTTTGCAGTGTATCTCTGTATGTGACATGGCAGTGTGTGTCTGTGTGCATGGTAGTGTGTTTATAAGTATTTGTCTCACAATGTGTGTGTGTGTGTGACTTTTGCAGAGTGTATGTATGTGAGGGAATGTGGGAGTATATATGTCGGTATGTCTTGGAGATTGTGTTGAGGGTGTATCTGTCAGTGGTTTTATAAAAGACCCCACAATATCTGATGGCAGCTCATGGTCAATCTCCCATTCCCTCTCCCACCACTATAAGATAACCCATCTTCTCCTACCATCATTAGGCTAGGCATCTCCTTGAGCCTTTCTCTGTCTCACAAGCAGCAACATGAGCTATCACCCCATCCCTCTCACCATCCATGTAACCACACTGCAGCCTCCAGCAGCAGACCCAGACCAGGATTAGCCTCGCTCTGAAGGCCCCCACTTACCCCGCCCTGGTACCTAGTGGACAGGGAACGCAGAAGCAGCCCAGATGAAGTCAGCCATCACACCATGTGCCCGTGGCCGGCCCCACAAGCTGCTACCAGTGGAGGAGCCAAGGGGGAAGGACCAGGGCGAATGCCCACCCACCCGAGAAGCTAGGGACCAAAAAAACCCTTGGACTAGATTTGCGGTTTTATTATGAAGACTTTGAATTAGGCTGTCTGATATTCTAGTATTGCATAATTAAATGAAGTTATTGAACAGTGAATATGCCTGATTTCTTAAATAGTCTTACATACTAATCTATTAAGTCCTCCCTTTTCCCCTTCCCCTGGAAAAAAAATCTCAATAGTCCAAATCACTGCTAATAGTTTTTGTGTTTTTAGTTTTTTTTTGTACAGTTTTGTCGATTGCAACATTTATCCTTAAAGAAATAGATTTGGGCTTATTGAAGAACATCTGATGGTACATTGTCTAAAGTAAAAAAAAAAAAAACTGTACAAAGTCACACTTGCTTCTATAATGGAGATACCACTAAGATTTTTAGTAAGAAATTCACACTATAACACATTTTGATTTTTCACAAATAAGTATATTCAACATAGGATGCTTTTACATAGTACATTTACATAGGACACGAGGTCATGCGTTTAGACTGGAAGAAAGAAGATTTCGTCTAAGGCAAAGGAAATGTTTTTTTACTGTAAGAACAATAAGGATGTGGAATTATCTGCCTGAAGAAGTGGTTTTATCAGAGTCCATACAGATGTTCAAACAGCTACTAGATGCATACTTGCAAGAACAGAATATTCAAGGATATAATCTTTCAATGTAGGGTAATAACTGCTTGATCCAAGGATAAATCTGACTGCCATTCTGGGGTCAAGAAGGAATTTTTTTCCTAACTTGTTGCAAAATTGTGCTTCAAACTGGGTTTTTTGCCTTCTTTTGGATCAACAGCAAAAAACAAATGTGAGGAAGGCTAAACTTGATGGACGCAAGTCTCTTTTCAGCTATGTAACTATGTAACTCCCATTCTGACAAAGTAAAGCATCTTTCTATTTTTAAGGTCTCATTTAAAACTCACGGTATATATCTCACCATCAGCATATAATACATGTTGCCTTTTGTAACTAAATCCATTCACTGTATTCTGTAAACTAGATTGGTCTTCATAACTTTACATGTTTCCTCAATACCAAATTTGGATTAGCTTTATTTACTCGTATGTTTTATTTCCACTGCAGAATATGTTAATGGAACATTATAGTGTTAGGAATACAAACCTTTACTCATAACAGCAATGAAAGGGTTAAATAACCCTTCAACAACTTACTTTATTCCAGCACTGAGGTCCCTCAGCGCCAGCTCTGATTGGCCCAAAATGTAAAATTGTCAAACTCTTACCTAGCTTTACATATGTGTCTTTTTTCATCTTTCACCGACTCCCAGATCCGTCCATGGTCAGTCTCCAGGCTGGGAATATTTTTTTTTCCCAAATGAGATTTGTAATTTAATTTTTTTTTTTTTAATTTTTTTTTTTGTGCAGAAGGCTATTGGGTACGATGTCTCTGCAATTCAGATTTAAGCAGGTTTTACTGAGTATACTTCAGCCAATATGGTCCATGTTTGAATTAATTAGCCCCAAACCCTAAAAGCTTAAAATTCTTACTCAGTAAGTAGCTGTCAGACGCCAAAGGTTTTTTCAAGGGACAGCCTCACGTACGTGTCTTCTTCGATATTCAACAGGCATCCTGAATCCATCCATGGTCAGTCTCCAGGCTGTGTATGTTCATGTGGACAAATCAGTTGGTCGATTACTCTGCAATTCAAATATAAACACGTTTTAGTGAGTACTCTTTAGTCAATATGGTCCATGTGTGATTGAATTAATTAGCCCCAGACCATAAAAGCTTAAAATTCTTACTCAGTAAGTAGCTGTCAGACCCCAAATTTTAGTCAGCAGACGGTTCCAAATACATGTTTTCTTCCATCTTAAATTGGCTCCTGGATCCATCCATGGTCAGTCACCAGGTTGTTTATCTTGTTTATCTTCATGTGGAGAAATCTATTGGGTACAATGTCTCTGTAATTCAAATATATTAACCATTCACTGAGCAATATTCTGCCAAAATGGTAGAAAAGAATTAACTAGCCCCAAACCCTAAAAACTTAAAATTCTTACTAAATAAGTAGCTTTTAGACCCCAAAGTTTACTCAGGTTATGGCTCCACATGCACGTCTTCTTTCATTTTCAACCGGCTCCTGGTTCCCTCCACTGCCAATCTCCAGGCTGTGCATTCTTGCGACCACCATGTAGACCCACCGGCAGAAGTTGGTTTTCTTGGACAGAAATAATGGCTGCAAACGTCTCTAAGAATGTAATTTTATCAGCACATAATATATAGATACCTTCCCATTATTTACAAATGGCACTACATTATACATTGATGTAATGCCAAAGGTGAGGGAGCAAAATACAGTTTCTCCATTGCAGCCAAGAACCCTCGGATCAGCTCTGCTCACTGTCTGTCGAGATATTACGGTTTCTGTATAATAAAATCCTAAAATGTGACGTAATACTTTGTTGCCGTCAGCCAATTAAATCATAGATCAGCCAGGGGGCGGAGAGTTTAGTATCAGAGATTTAGAACAGATTTCCTCCCAGCCCACATTACTACACAGTGTACAGGGCTGGTGTATAAACCCAGATCTTAGATTAGAATACAGGGTATAGAAATGTATTTAGTCTAGGAATATGGAGTAACTTTTAGCTCTCTGTGTGTAGGATATACTTACTTCTAGAATTGATGGTCTCAGATATCTAGAGGATGAAACTAATAATTAAAATAAAAGAAAAACACGACAGTCTTCATGGCTGCACTGGCTGCCACAAACTTTCTGAATGAATGAAGTGAAAAGGACAGACTATGAGTGATGTCAGCTGTAGCATCATGACATCATCACTGCTGCACAAAGCAAATAATTAATGAAGTCACAATGCAAGAAGAGAGGCATAAAGATGCAGCTAACACAGAGTAAAGGGGTTTAACCCTTTCATGGCCATGGCCTTTCCAAGATTCTATTTTAGTGATAGAGCTTTCTAGAACTTCTCTATATGTTAGTTCCACTGTCGTTTAATGCTTTCTATTTACATGTACCCATACAGTTTATATACCATTTTTTTTTTCAATTTGACAATTTTTATTCTTTTGGGGTACAGAAAAGAAAAATGGGATAAGGGAAAAATGCAGATAAGCCAGTTTTACAACACCTCAGTACATCACAGTGTTATGGTGATATAGCATAGCTTTATTTATCTTCACCTTTGCAGTTGTCTTACTGTAACGGTAGGTGATTAACCTTAGTGTGATGTTGTAGTATCGGGGTGGGGATGGTGCACAGGTGCCAAGAGTAAGGTGCACATGGGTGGGCGGTTGGTGTAGGGATTGGATCCGCTTGCAAATGTGCTCTTCCTCCTCAGCGCTCCACTCTCTCCTTTGTTATGTTAACGGCCCTCTAGACCTTTGACCCAAAGGTCTTATATTGCCCTGCTTTATTGGGGAGTTATTGTCCCCTCTATACCTCCGTGTGGTTCACTGTCACCTGCGCCTCTGAGGCTTGCCATTCCTTGGTTTGCTCCCTTTTGGGTGGATCCTAACCCTACCTTGGTGGCTATCTGCCATGTGGGGTAAGGGTGGGTGGGGTGGGGTGTAATACTATATACCATTTTTAAAAGACAGACAGGCATTTCTTCTAATGCCCACTATGTATACATAATAAGTAGGAATAAAATATTTAAACAATTATAAATAATGTATGTTTTTTTCACATTTTTGATTATACATCCTTTCTATGCAACTAAAGAAAAATAACTCAAAATTGGTTCACTTAGTCCTGATTGTTAAAAATCCTGATATCTAGGATTTTAGTACATTTTTGGAAGGTCTAGGAGTGAATTTGTGTAAGCAGACCAAATATTGCAAAAGTTTAGCCTTGGGTCCCTATCAGGTTTATTCAATAAATTTTGAATTCAAAGTGAATTTAAAATGTGCAAATTCGGTTAAAAACCCCTTCTGACACTTACATGAGTTCCTTCTGCGCTGGCTCGGCTAAGCCTTTTGGAGACCTAGTGTGCATGCACAGCAATGGCTGAATTCGCATTAGGATTTCCCCATAGGAAAGCATTATTCAATGCTTTTTCTGTGGGGATTCCTGTGATGCTGGAAATCCTCATCCATAGCGTGAGGAAGTCCAGCATCAGTTACGTGACCAAAAGTCGCCTAACGATCCGAAAGTCCCTCTAGTGGCTGTTTGGTAGACAGCCACTAGAGTAGGAGTTAACCGATAAAGGTAATTATTGCAGTTTATAAAAAAGTTTACCTTTCCAGGGTTAAGGGTGCTGGGACACTGTACCCAGACCACTTTAATGAGCTGAAGTGCTCTGGGTGCCTATAGTGTCCCTTTAAAAGCCTGTGCAGGATTGGATATCTAAGGTGGAAACGGTCAGGCTAAACATGAACAATCTACACCAATTATACACTGAAATTTGGACCCTGTTGGCTAAATTTCCTAAACATATCCCTAGTAGGGGCCACCGTAACTCCATACCCATTTCCATTTGGACTTACCCCACAAGGGGAACCTCTTGATATAATTTAGCCCAAAAAAATTGTTATCCAATATTCTGATGTAAATTTTATTGCACCTATATTGACTTACATTGAGGGGAGGTGGATTTCCAATGTAAGGGAATCAGTGTATTTGCTGCGTTCGGGAGGTGAAGTACTAGAGATTGAATGTACCTCTTTAGAGGTGTAGAAGTGTAGTGAAACAAGAATACTTCAGGTTTTCTGGGCACTATGGTGTCTGTGATTGAATTGATGAGCCGGGAAATGGATTCCTAAAATTAAGCAATCTTCGGGCAGATCCACCACAGGTGAGCTGTGATATGCTCAAACATGTTGCATCTACAGCACCTTTTAGAGGCTATGCGGGAGATTCTATGGAGAACCATCTGGGAAGTTAGCATAATTTGCTGTGACCCCTGATGATGACATCGCCGCTGGTGGCCCGGAGGCTAGTAGGGCAGTGAATGGTGAGATTTAATTACCTGGGCGTCTCCATCTTCTTCCTGACAGTCCTCTTCTGCTCCTGGCGCTTCAGTGCCAGCAGCTGACGTAACTGTTGTACTCTGATGTTTGCAGAAGAGTATAGCATTGAGGTCTATG